AATTTAATAGACATATCTTTTCATGAAAAATCACAATATTTTAAAATGAAACTTTTTCATCAAAGAATACAATTCTTTTCAATGAGTAATATAGTTTTGTGGTTTCATACTAGTCATATCATACACTAGTAAAGAGAGACTCAACGTCCACAATATCAATGTGGTTTCATACTAGTCATATCATATACTAGTAAAGAGAGACTCAACGACCACAATATCAATTATACTCCAAGAATTTTGTGGGTCTAACATAATACAAGATTGTCATTAAATTTCATATCTTGTACTTTTAAATTTAAATTAGATAGTAAGTCTAATTTTGTCTTTATCATAAGTAAAGAACCCCCCACATTTTAAATATGTTCTCAAAAATATTTTTCAAGTATTTGAAATTATTTTCCACATATTTTTTCCCATGCTTACACATTGGCAACACAAAGCCTTCTTTTGGAGATTTAATCTATATAAACACCCATTGCAGGCACAAAAATCACTAATTTTATGTCACTAGTTTTTTTCCCCCCTTTTTGTCACAACTAGACAAAACACTTGGTATTTAGAATACTAACAATAAAGATTCAATCTTTATACAACTTGTTTCTAGTTTAACGATGAAATTTTTATATTCTTCTAATCGTTAACCGAATGAACCTTGAATTCTGATGAAGTTTTAATATTTTTTGAATCAATTTCATATTCAGACAGAGTAGTAAACCAAAAAGGTTTTAATCTCCAGAAACCTCAAATATAACACTGTTTCGAGCTAATGATGAAGATTTTATCTTTTTCAAATCATTTAGCCTTAATATTCCTAACGAAGATTTTGTACTCTTCAAGTCAGAATATTTATTCAAACAGAGTATTTAACAAATTGGTGAAGTTTTTATATTCTTCAAACCAATGCACAATCTAATTTGTTCGTGAAGTTCTTAAATTCTTCAAACAAAAGGACTAAAAAAAAATCTAGAAGATTTTAGTCTCCAAAAGTCAAACACAATCAAATTTCACACTAGTAGAAAACTACAAAAGTTCTATTTTTTCTCCCCTAAACAAAATACATATTATTAATAATAAAGATATATTGTAAGATCATCACATAATGATCATCTATCCTAACATTTATGAAATAAATCTCATAACTTATAAAGCATATAAAAAATAATAATCAAGGGAAATAAAGATA